GGGGGGGGGGGGCTATGAAGAAATTGCCAATTTCAATTACAATGTTGGGATTCTTCCTTCTGACCTAGAAGGTAAAAAGCACCAAGAGTATGTCAGAGCCTCTGAAAGGGTATGAGTTTCCCCTCAAAAGAAGAGGTTCACATTTCCAGGGCTAACTTGGATCCCAACAGGTATTTATTCAACTCGAGACTCAGATACATTCCAGCCACCCAGGGAGTAATCAGAGTTCACAGAATTTCAAAGTTGGAAAGGTTAGACACTCTACTCCAACTCCCACCCCTACTCCCGGTGAAAAAATTGAGACAGAGAGAAGATAAATGACTTGCTCAAGGTCCTACACACAGAGTAAGTGATGGGACCCAATTCAGTTTCCAGACTCTTAGACTTTGCCCCTAAAGGATACTAACCCTGGATGTTTGTAGTTCTTTATATTCCAGATTTCTTTGTGAGAATCCTTTTATTTTTCTTTCCAGGATTTTGGTGCTCACATTTATAGATGTGCTATATATCCATGTGAAATAATATTTAGCCCTCAGGTAGATGAGAAACAATGCAAGTATAAAGGAAGGGGGTGCTCTGCTGGTGAGAAGTAGTTATTTCAAGCACTGTTCAACCTCCTGGTGGCTTCCTGGTGTAGCTTACATATTTAAGTCTGAGTATCTTTCAGAGGGACTTACCCTTGAATCTATTAAATGGGTTCATTTCTTCCCTTCTTCCCCACCAGCAGATCAGAGCCACAGAGGGTCTGTTTGCAGTCAAACACAAAGATAGCAAGGCTCCAATTTTATACTTAAGTTTAAAGAATACAGATTAAGAGCTAGTCTATTAACACATTGGCTCTCTGTAGTCCACTAATGAATAATATTTTCCCTAATCAGTCTTTCTTCCTCTCTCTTAAATAAAACTCCAGTCACTGTAATGAAATATTATCGGTTTTAACCCTTTTTTTCTTCTCCCCGATATAATGCAAGAAAAAAAAGAGGGGAGCAAGGTTTGTGGATGTTACATCCAGAAGTTAGTCATGATATGCAACTGAGAACCGAATAGGAAAAAAAAAAAACGGTTTTAATGTATGCACAGAAAATTGTAAACATGTAAAGAACTGAAAGCTTCATGCTGAGTTTTGCTATGCTCCATTTCCTTACCATTTCCTGCTGTCGCTTTAAACCTATCTTAGTCATCTCTGGGTTCCATGAGCAGGAACAGTGTGCTCATAATTACTAACAAATCAACCGGGCCCTGTTGCTCTCTGGGTTTATTGATAAGCTGGAGGAAAGCAGAAGGGAAAAGACAAAGAGAATAAAATATGGGGTTAATCAGCTGAGCTAAGCAGGTGTGAGAGTGGAGGGGAAGGTAGATAACAGTGCGAGGGATTTTAAGGAAAGTTAGGACAAGAAATGGGTAGGGTCTAGTCTAAGATACCAGGTCTAAGGCCAGAGTAGGAGAGGGTTAGAACCTGAAGATGAGAGAGTAGATGGTAGGAATACGATTTATACTTAAATTAAAAAAATGGAAATATAACCTGAAGCATGTCTGCTCAAATAGTTTGCATCTTTGTGGGGAAAACAACAACAACAAAAGAAGACAGCAGTGTGCTGACAGAAGCTAACTGGATTGGTGATATTTAGGTGATAACGCATTTGCGGAAAGGTACAGCCCAGGGAGGGAACAATATACATTCCCCATAGGAAATGGCTCTTGTCAGGTAAATCAAGCAATTAACAATAGTGAAATTAGAGGGCAGGTTATAAAGTGTCTCTTAAGGCCTGGCTTTTCAAGAGATTTGGCAACTGGGACTCTGAGAAGCAGATAAATTACAATCCTAAGGAGATATTTGGTTGTCTGATATGGGAAATAGGAACTGAACTTACTATTTTCAGCTTAGTGAGGTTTTTTTATTGTTAAAATATTCTTTCTCAAGAATATTTAATAGTATAAAATACAAAATATTAAATATAAAAACATTGCTGAGTGTTGAAGATGAGATTTTTGTGCAGTTTATTTCTATAGTTCTTCCCATGTTAAAATTACAAAAGGCCATCATCTATATTTTGGAGAAAAGTTTCTCCAAGGTTATCTGATGCTAATTCCCATGATCATAAATTATTTGCTTAGAGTTCTTGAATATGAATATGAATCTGAAATATGAAAATATGAAAATTGAGAGTATTGCAAAGAATAAGACAGATCAACATAGATGTGGATGTTGTGTAAGAGAATTAAATGATTTGTTCCCACCCAAATCACTGTCTTTTAAATGACTTTAACTCCATATTTTACTCAAATTTAATTAATACTCACACTTGGACTTTTCATTGGTTCACTCTCAAATGGGAAGCAGCTTCACTGATAATATGATGAGGGGAATCAGAAAGAAGACAGCACCCTCTGTAGCTCCCCACCACCACCATAGCAGTGCAGAAGATCCATTCTGTTACCCAACATCATTCACCTGCCCTGAGACAAGGCTTTGGACTCTGTAGACAGATCCAGAAATACTAAAATGTCTACTAAGGAGTAGCAAAAGGGACTGTTCCAAGACCCCCATCCATTCTCCTAGGAAAATCCTTTTCCACAAGGTGTTTGTAAAGGGCCAAATGCAATTCCTAATAAGTAAGAAATTTGGGACCTACCTGGGTTTCAGCAGTCTCTAAACAATCATGGAGGTCTGAATGCCAGAATCCGTAGTGGAGAGAATAAGCTATTAAAAAATACTCAGTGTAGATTGGTCTGTTCTATACAAGAGAGGTTATGCAACTTGTCTAACATATAAGTGTTCTAGGCTCTAGACGGTGGAAAGAGCATATCTTTCCCCTACCAGGATTATAGGATGAGACATTGTTGTTTATTAAAGAACAGGAATGGAAACCTCCTTTTTCATGCCAGATGCATGTTTCAATAAATCCCCTGGACTGGTGATCAACAAATACCGTTTGAAGATTTGCGAGTTTCATATCCCACTGGAAGAAGCTAAGGTTTAGTAAGGCAAATCAGGAGAAGTCACCTGCCCTGTGGCTTCTAGAGCCTGCAGAAATTCAGCAGTGTAGAACTCCAAGGGAGTAAGACTGCCAGTGAATTGGGAGGTTGACCATTCATTGTTCCTCATTCCCAGCCTTCTGGTTCTACTGAGCCCCGCCTCTTCCTGAGGTGCAGATGACACTGAAACACAATTAAACAGAAATACAGGCTGGTGAGACTGAATGCGCCTGGGTAGCAGTGGCAACCAGCTGTCAGCTCTTATTAACTTCTGCATAAAACATACCTTGAGTGCGGTTTGTTATCAATTACTTGCCGAAATGAAACAACTGGGGCAAGGCAAGACCTCCGCTCACATGAATTAGAGTGATTGGTTGATTGATCAGGGCACCTGTTGTAAATCATAACTGCTCCAAACAATCACCAGCCGGTGCTTTAGTTAATTTGTAAACAAAATTCATGTCACCGTGGAATTGCTTTCACTGGAGAGGAGCATTTGGGTTCATTTCTAAATGAATGTGTTGTTATGATGTAGGAAAGAATGAGATCCACTTTAGAGAAATGAGCAGCTCTTTTGAGCCCAAGCTTAATGGTATTACTAGGCTGTTCTTGAGCACAGTGTCTCTGATAGGGCCCACTCTCCAGTGCTCTCCAGTGATGACCACAGATTTGGGTCCAATAGGAAAGGAGGGAGGGGTTCCCATAAAGAACACTGGTATTACCATTTTATATCATCGATAGTATAATCACTCTCAGGCTTCAGCACCAAATGTGATTATTACCTCAGGAGACGGATGAGGAATCTAAGATTCAGAGAGGCTCCCTGAGATGTCTCAGGTCACAACCTAGCACACGATGGAATAGGATTTGCTGGGTTTCACAACACAATCCAAACTCTAGGCTGCGTGTTTTCTTGATTTGTATAGTGAGCGGGGCTGTGGCAAGCGACACTCATAGGTCTACACACATGGGGTAAGTTTCCAGAGGAGTGATGGCTTTTCCATTTGTTTGTACACAGTGCTCTGAACGCACCGCAGCCCCACTGGAACAAACACTTCCTCCTCCAGCTTTCCACTTGGCGCCTGTCCTGTGGCCTCGCCCCTGCGCACGCACCGACACATTCTATCAGCCGGTCACCAGGATTGAAACCCGGTCACCTTTATGGCATATTTTTTTTCTCTCTAGTTCCGGTTCCTCCCAAATCTGTGACTTCTCTGATGATGAATAAAGATGGCTTCCTGGGAGGCATGTCCGTCAACACCGGCGAGGTATTTTGCTCGGTCCCGGGCCGTTTGTCTCTGCTCAGTTCAACTTCAAAGTACAAAGTAACTGTGGGGGAAGTTCAGAGACGGCTTTCGCCCCCCGAATGCCTCAATGCGTCTCTCCTCGGCGGCGTCCTCAGAAGGTAAAACCCCCAAACCGGTTATTACGGGGTGAAGGAAGAGGGCTCTCCCGGAAACCTACAGATAGCCGGACGCAGTTGCCTAGCAACCGGGCGTCCAGAGCGCGGCCCCCGCGCTACGCGTGCGAAGAGCCACGGCCGCCACGCGCTGGGGGCCGCGCGCGCAGACGCCGCCGCCCTGGGACCCACGCGCCGCAAGCACGCGCCGCCTCGCTCTCCCGCTGTTGTCGGCGCTGGGAACCTCCCTCTTTCCCTGCCCTGTGCCTGGCGCCTGGCTCTTTCCTGTCCCCGGGACACTTCGAGGGCATTCTCTAGCCTGAGTGAAACTCAGAGCCTACACACACTTACCTAAAACAGACGTTTCATGGAGTAACCTGCGTTGTGCCAGTAACGTACTGTAACATTTCTCTGTTTTGTTTTAAAATATGCTTGGCGGACGACTAAATTGGTCACTACCTACCAAGGCATTGTGCCCTGAAGTTTGAAAAAATGCCGTGCTAGACTTGCGACCTCCTGTCTTCAGTAAGAACACCACCAATAATAACAATGGAATAGTAATAGTTATTTTTGGGGGGCATTCAAGTGCTCCATAATATGGGGAGAAGACATTCCATAGACTTCCTTGTGGAAGATGGGGGAAGAGATGGCTTTTATCTTCAGATTTAAAGCCTTCACCCAGAATCTCTGCCAATGCCTGGACAAAGGACACTTTGGTAGTGTCTCTGATATGAAGGTGACACTGTAGGGGATGAATTTTTCAAGTTAGCCTCTTTAGGGAGTTGAAAGTCCCTTTCTTTCCTAAAAGTGGCTGTGTGAACAGTACAAGAGAGGTCAGAGTAACTGGTTTTTTTTCTTGTATTTTTGCCCAGAATTTAGCACATACAGGGAAAGTCTGGGGAGGAGGTAAGGGTGTGACTCATGGATTTTTCTCACTTCGAATCCTCTTTCTCTGCTCTCCTGAAGTGAGTCCTTTGAGCCCCGGAGTGTGGAAGTTTCTTTCAATCACCCCTGGGCATTGAGCGTGTGTGTATAAAACTTGCTATGAGATTAAGTGAGATAATCAATATACAGTGCTTATCGCATAACTAAACTCCCTAAAGTGTTAGTTTAACTGTTATTGCGATTACCATCATCATGCTGGTTTCATGTTTCAGTCTTCCTTCCCCTTTTAACCCAACTCCATTTTATAGTGACTCTTGACCCCTTCCTTCCTCGAAAACCCCACCTGTTTCAGCTAGTTAGTGCCTTCTCTCTGAACCACCCAGTTCTTTCCCTCTTTTCAGCAAGGTTGTGCTTGCCCAGTTTCTGTTCACCTAACTGGCTCCATTACAAGGAAAGAGCTTCTGTGTTGCATGTGCAACTTCTACCTTTTCTGGACCCACAACCTACACCCTAATTATTCCCATCTGGTATCATTTTTTTTCTCACGAGATTAAAAAAAGACTCATTTTTTTTTTAATGCTCTGTATTGCAGAAATTAAGCAAACCTCAGCAAACTATCAGCAAATAACCAAAAGGAAAGGGGGAAAATGTGCTAACCTCAAGTTAAAACCTCTTCAAGCTCCACTGGGCTTTAGATTGCTAAGTCTAAACTTTGTTTCAGGAACACTCTGAGGTTAATCAGAATGTTAATTCTTGCAATTTCAGAGCCAAATCGAAAAATGGGGGGAGATCTTTGCGAGAAAGGCTAGAAAAAATCGGTTTGAATTTACCCGCGGGCAGGCGCAAAGCTGCAAATGTCACGTTACTCACCTCCCTGGTGGAAGGTAAGCAAGACGTGTGGCCATTTCACGAAGTTTAACTGTTGGCTGAAGGCTGACATTTTACACGTTTCATGATTAACTGGAAATCACTGCGATTGTTGTGCCCTTATGAGTTGGATGTCAAGCGGCTGCCTGAGAGAAGTTCAAAGGTCCTTTTACTTAGAGGGAGCTGGCAATTGTAGAGAGGCCAAGGGACATGTGCGAAGGTCCCTAAGCTCTGAAGAGTGCTCAGGTCCAGACTCTAAGGCAGTGCAGGGGTCACTTCTGCCACCAGATGCAGGAAAGAGTGCATGAAACACCCTCTGTTTGAACTCTTGCAAGAGTAACTTTGGAAGCAGCAATCCATTCTATACCCCTCTCCTTCCCAGGTTCTACCTCTGTAGTAGAAAATGCATTGTCAGTTTATGAAACTATTATTGCATTCATGACCCCTGTGGTTATTTTAAAACTCATGCCACTCCCAGGGTCCTATCTCCTGCTGGTTACCTGGGACTTACTATGAATGAAATATGGCTTAGTGAAGCCAATGAGGCCTAGGAGAAAATGGAGTCAAGGGTAGGGTGAGGAAACAAGGAGGGGAGTCACGTATGATCTTCAGTGTAGATCCATCAATTGTGAATTAAAGGCCCATAATTATAACAAGCACATTCTAATTTACTCATCATTTTGGGGTTGGGGGATGATATTTATGGTATGTAATAAACAGGATCTTCTACACAGTTGAGAACAAGAGGATCTGCAGTTAATTTGCGGGATGGGGAAGGGATAGGAAATACAGCCAGATGGTCCTAATGAAGGAAGTTGTAGAATTTTCTCTAGAGTCTAACATGTTGGTCTTGGTTTTTTCTTTTATTTTTATGGATGTGATATTATGACACTCCTGTGGGGAATTGGTTTTTGGAGGAGATCTTAGAATATGCAAGGAGCAACCATAAAGTCATCACATTTATAGGCTTTGCACTTTGCCATCTTCAAGGCAAAGTTGCCTGGCCCAAATTTACCCTCCAAGGGCAGCAGTCACCAAATTTCCTGAGCACGCTTATTAGCAGTTGACTCTCAGCTGGGGTGGGGGTGGGTTACTTTTTGCCCTTCAGAGATTTGCTAATATCACCATCCTTATTTTGTAAAAGCAGTCAAGGTAATCTCTATCCAAGACGTGAAATTGGGTGGAGAAAGGACAAAACAGGGAAACTACTGAAATTCCAATATTCGTTTAGCAGTTTTCAGTTTTATGGATCTGGATCACTATAAGCATCATGCCTGAAGTCTTTTGTTGTTACTATAATAATGATGATTAAAAGTAAGTCATGCTCCTTAAAAATAACATAGCTATGGGACAATTCAACATGTCTCTTTTTCATGTTTGGTATCTTCCCTTGAACACCCAAGGCTGTGCATTAAAGGGTAATAATGCTTTATTTGAAAGGGGCTTCCACATAAGCTGAGGAATCTCTCAGATGTCCAGGTTTTCTATAGCTGCTGTGTCATCTTGTGCAGTAGAAAGTCCTCAAGTAGGAAGATGATGACAGGAACCTCTGAGGAGAACCCTGAAACCTATCAGGAACCGACAAAGAATAAATATTTCATTGCTGGACAGAAACAATCATTCCATATGTTATTACATATGTTCTTTAATATGTGTGGACATGTACACACATGGAATTATGTTTGTATATATTAGTTATTAATAAGAGGTTTTTTCCTAGTGCAGTTATAGGAAGATACAAAAGATAGGAATACTTTTAAATTTTACTTAAAGCAGGTGTAACATGTGCTTTTAAAAGGGGGAGGGAAATCTGGCTTGAATATCCAGCCAACTGTCTAGGTGCAATTGTAAGGTGGCTCCTGAACATATCTGCCCATCTTTCCCTTAAGAGAAAGCATGGGGTGTAGGAGGCCTGAAGCTATTCAGAGGATGCCTAGCTAGGACTTGGCTAAAAGGATCATCAGGGAGAGGCTGGAAAGAGCAGCAGGGGCAAAATTTCTTCCATCAACTTTATGGCCTGAGAATCATTTTTATTTGGGCATCAGTCTGACCTTTGCTTTTGCCCCCAACAGCTGGCCTCTTCTGTAAATAACAACAGTTGACCAGGAAGGATCTCTTGTCCTGGGATGATTCGGGACTAGGTGCTGAGTATTACCTCTGCTGCTGTCTTTTCAGGAGAAGCTGTTCACTTAGCTCGGGATTTTGGGTATATTTGTGAAACGGAGTTTCCTGCTAAAGCGGTTTCTGAGTATTTGAACCGGCAGCACACTGACCCCAGTGACCTGCACTCCCGAAAGAATATGCTGCTGGCTACCAAGTGAGTGTCCCAGACCCTCATCCCTCCTCCCTGACTCCCACCTTGCTGCGTCACCTCATCACCTCCCCAGTGTTGGGGAGCTGGGGAGCGGCAATGCAGACCTCATTTGTGGAGCAGGGAAGCAGCTCAGTGGTCAAAGTAGCTTTTGCAGCCTGTGGATTGCTGGCTAGGAGCCCTCCCGGCTCCACCCTGCTGCCCCTCTCTCTCTCACCCCCCTCTCCACCCAAGTTGATCATGGGCTATGGGTTTCTCTTGGTCTCCTCTATTACCAAGTTTCTGGGGGAGAATGGCTTTATTAATATGAATCCAGGCTTTTTACAGTTCTTATCGTCTTCTTCTGGGTTGGTCCTTGTTCCAGTTCTTCCCTGGGTCCCTAGGTGCACATTTCCGCCCGGTTTCACATCTCCCTGTCATATCCACGCTCGGGGTGTCTATATGTCACCCATGTGTACCCATCTCTACCCGCAGCTCTAATTATTCTCTTTCCTACGTTGCTGTTTGGCATCTTCCACTGATGTAAAATTTACTACAACTCCAGAGGGGAAAATAGTAAATCTCTGGCTAAATTTAGGTCTGAGCTCATTTGAACTTTTACAGTGGGTTTTCTATTTATTTGATTTACTCCTGTCTTTGGCTTCAGTGTCATATTGTTGGTGGTTTATGGCCGGCTCAGGCCTGCAGTGGGCGGCGCTGCGTGCACCCGCACGTTTCTCTCGCAGGCTCGGCCCAAACAGCGGCGCTCATTTATTTAGTGCTGGAGGACGCGGTTTGTTCCGTTGACAGCATAATTTAAAGAAATATATGGAAGGCTGAAAAATCATTTGCTCAAATTTGTCCAGATGTTTTTGAGACGTGATTGGAATTTGATTGCCCCTTTCCGCAGGGTCAAAAAATATTAATGTCCCAGAACTTTAATTGCTTACAGACCCTGCTTTGGGCTTTGAAGATTTAGAATGTTTGACTCTAAGCATTTGTTCTCCCCCGTTCAGAATTTCCTTTTTGGCACTTTGGTAATGAGTACAAACTTAAGAAAAGACTTTAACCATCTCTTCAAATGATCAAAACCTGGCACCCATCCTGGTTATGGAAGGTTTCCTTCTGATCCACCAACTAGCAGTATAATAGATCTATTGCCCTCCTGCCCCTTGCCTCACTGTCTGGTTGTGGGGGACCTGTCGGTGCTTTATAAAAGAGTAAGTGTACTTTGGGGAAAAAATAAAACTAAAGTGCATAAATTAGGTAATAGGAGTCCACAAATGCTATCATTTCCCTAAGGAATGCTTGTAACTTCCCCCACCCCATCACCTCTTGAAACCCTGTGACTTCACTTAGGACACCACTTCTTAACCTGGGGTGAGTATCAGAATCATCTGGGGAGCTTTTCCAAGATACTTATTTGTGGACCTAGTCCCAAGCTCCCTGAATTGGAATCGTGGGGACAGAGGCATGGATGTTTGCATTTGAGCCCCACAGGTGATTCCAAGGTACCCCTGGCCTAAGAACTGCCCTATTTAGATAGAACCGTTACCTATTTCTTCCTAGTTGTAAGAATGCATGTGTGCATTTCGAGTGGAGAAACCAATAGAGGGGAGGGTAGAGAGAGGATACCTGTTAGGATTCTCTAACCACCAGCCTTAAAACCAAAACCCTTTCACCTGCTGCAGATGGGGGTGGGGGAGGTAATTCTCTGTCTTGTTCAGGCATTACTCTTCCTGAGAGTAATCCCCTTGGCAAAGGATGCCCCAGGGTCACTCATATGGGCCTCTAGGTAACTGCCTTGTTTACCTGTTGTCCAGGCCCCACGTGTCCCCAAGTGTCAGGCCACGGGGAGGGCGGTGGGGGGGGGGTGCGGGTGCTGAGACTGGACTTCTGTAGTTTTTCTTTCTCACCACCCCCGCCCCCACTAGTGGAAGCAGTCTGCCAGTCTGTGAAAGGCTATGGCCTTTGGGATGCCATTCCTCTGACTGGTAGCCGAGCCAAGCCATTGGACCTTCCGGGCTAAAACCCTCCTATATTAACCCTCTTGTCCTCCTCCTATATTAAAAATTTCTCAAATAAGCTCAATTCGTAGTTAGGCGCGTAGGATTTCTAAGGCTGAGAGATTCCTCTAAATTGTAGTTGCCTTGAGGAAATAAAAACCTTCAACAAATAAAAAATCTACCCTCCCCAGTGTCTTAACCATCTACCTGTAGGTTTTATTTAAACAATGTAAGAATCCTTTTATATTGACAACAATCCTGTTGTACAAAGATTTCAGTAGCCTGTGCTTAAAAGAAAGGGGGAAAAGGGGAAAATATACCTTCCTTCCCAAATACTGCAGGTAAACAGATTTTTGCTTTAAATGGAATCAGCATTCTCTCCTGGAATAAACAGTTGCTTGCCCTGGGCCATGCAAGTCTCCCGCAATCTGCTTCTGTGCCAGGGACAGGCTTGTGGCTCAGGGGCCTAAATCTTTCAGGGCTTTTTGAGCCTGATCACCAAGAGGTTAGAGAGGCAGAGGAGAGAAGGGGGAAGGGGTTTTTACAAAAACTGCCAGGTAAGAGCGAAACATTACTGAATATTCAAAACCCAACACTAAAGCCTAGCCGATTTCCCAAGCAGAGTTTAAGCGGCCCTGGAATGAAGGGGGGGGTGGGGGGGGAAGACTGGATTTGAGAAAAAAGGCAAGGCTTTGGGATAGAAGGGGTGCCTAACTTCCCCCCCCCCCCCCCCCCCCCCCGGCTTTCCTTCTAGTCCCAGCTGCTCCAGAAGGGAGAGCTCTGGGAAGGGAATCAGAGCGGAATCGTCCACATTAGCCTTGCTCCCCGGCTCTATGGTGACCGGGCGCCTCTGGGCTTGTGTGAGCGTCTCCTTTCTAATGCCAGTGACAACGACACTGAGGGTGATTTTTTTAATTCCTCTCCCACCTCTTTGCAGGCAACTCTGTAAAGAATTTACGGATCTGCTGGCGCAGGACCGGACACCAATCGGGAACAGCAGGCCTAGCCCCATCCTGGAGCCGGGGATCCAGAGCTGCCTCACGCACTTCAGCCTCATCACGCACGGCTTCGGCGCCCCGGCCATTTGCGCTGCGCTCACGGCCCTGCAGAACTATCTCACCGAGGCACTCAAAGGCATGGACAAGATGTTCTTGAACAACACCACCACTAACAGGCACACGTCTGGGGAAGGCCCAGGTAGTAAAACTGGCGACAAGGAGGAGAAACACAGGAAATGAAAAATTTAAAAAAAAAAAAAAGAAAGAAAAATGTTTTAAATACAAAAGGAAAACAGAAAAAATTTAATTTTAGCTTTAAAATGTTGGATTGGCTTTGGAAGAATTATATTAGGTAGAATACACATACAATCAAATTTTAAAAAAAAGAGCTAAATAACTTTTAAAAAAAACTGAGGCGTACAACGGAAGCAACAATATCGGTTCTCAGTGTCTATTTCAAGATACACTTGGAGACAAACGTCCGGATTTTCCACATCGGTTCTTTCGAGCTTAGTAATACTGATAATAAAAGAAAACCATGATTTTCCCCCTTTGGAAAATAAACGTAAGACTAAACATGAGAAAACGCTAACTTATTGGAAGAAAATCGGAGAAACATTGTTGGTGTCAGTGCTTTGAGAGTTGGTTGACTGAGACGCACGAACTTTTTAATTTTTAATATTTTTTTAGGAAACACTCTTGCAGTCCCCGCCCTTCCACCTCACCTCACCCCTCTCCCAGCCACCCTTTTCTACGTTGCCCTGCCTCCCTCAAGCTGTCACAGGAATTTTCTGGGATGAAAATGAGTGTGGTTAGCCCCTTTGCGTTGTGTTTCAGTCCCCTGGGTACCCCCGCCCCTGCCCCGCACTGCGTTCTTAACTCACCGGCGCCCAGCTCCCAGGCCGTTGGCACCCTTGGGAGGGCGAGGGCGGGCGGGGAGGGAGGCCCGCGGTGGTGCCGGTGGGGGCTGCCGCTTGTGCTGGGCGGCTGAGCAGAGGCTCCTGCGGCTGAGGAAAATCCGGATCAATAAGTTGATTCAGACTCATCATCAGTTCCTTTCAGAAATGTTACTAATTCCCAGCCTTGCCGGCATCTGCATACAGAGAATCTTGCATTTGTTATATTTGTGTCATCTACCAATTTTAAGAACAATAGTAAAAAAAAAAAAAGCACAATATGAATACGTTGATTAGTATGTAATTCCTTCGGAGGGGTATGTACCATTTCATTCTCTTCTGTTTTCCAAAGCTTTGCCCGCATGGTTTATGAGCTTCTTCAAAGAGGACTTGGGCTTCCTACACAATCTATAAGGTACAGAGAAAAAAAAATCCGATCCCTTTTTAATCAAAGCCTGTGTGTCAGAATTCTGCAGGTGCACTTCTTTAAAGAAGCTCAAAGGGAATAATTTAGAAAGTGGCCAATAAGAGATTGAAGCAGCTTTGAGTCTAGTTGCTAACAGATACCTCAACATGGAATTCCACAGGAGGGGGAGCTGAAAAATGAATTTTAGGGGAGAAGAGTAAGGGTTCTTGGAGCCCAATATTTTAGCAATATTGACCTGCCTTTGAAATAGATTCCATTTCCTTGGGCTCCTTGGTGATTGCTGTTTTAGCCGGTGAAGAAGCAGCTTTTTGAGTGGTTGTGGGGAGGAGGGTGATGCAAGCTCCTGTGTTTTAGCAACAATTGCTTTCTTACAAGATGCTTTATGAATGAGACACTCCCCCCTCTCAGACGTGCACTTGTTGTGGCATATAATGGCAAAATAATGAATGCAAAGTGAAAGGAGATGTATTTCAGCTTTGAATTTTACCGTCTGTATACACTGGGACTATTCTCAGTGGATAAAGTTTCCTGCATTTAATGTCTCTCATTTTGGCAGCCCTGCTCCTTTCTTGGGCTTCATCTGAGCATTATCATGAAATAAGATCTGGAACCCATTGTCCCCACCCTCCCCAAAGCAGTGGGGAAATCCACACCCAGTGGTCTCTAAACTTAGTGTTGATACACCTATTTATACCAACTAGACCTTAGGACCTTTGCAACAACCCTGAAAGATAAAGATCCTGTCTGTTCTGCAGGGTTTACACTTAAGATCCACTGGGACTCTCAGTTCTGCTGCCCCCATGGGCTTTGGCTTTGGGGGTAGGTTGGAGAATTGGGGTTTAGGCACCTGCTGAGAGCTTTGCGCTGACACTTTTATGGGGGAGGGAGTTAGGGAGCTGGTTTCAGATCACCAGGAAGGTCCAAGCAACGGTTTTGGTCACATCCCAGCCCATCTACCGCTAGCTCCTTTGGGGACTTCTGGGTGTGCAGGGCTCAGCCCTAGACGAGGTGAAGTACAAAGGCTGGGAACTAAACCTAATGGAGAGTGTAGACACTCCATCTCTCCCCAGCTCAGAAGCCTGCGCCTTTGTCGGAGGGCCTGGCCGCTTGCGTTATATGTATTCTGACTGCAAAAGGCCAGGAGAAACCACACTGAAAACCATCGTCTCCTTTCCTTGCAGGGCAACGCGCCCCACGCGTGTGACGTGCGAGAGACGCGATGGACGCGCCTTGCTCTTACTGTGCAGGTCCTGAGAGCGTGTGGGCCACTCGCGCCCAGTCGTGTTGAGGACATAGAATCAGCCGCTGGAGGGGCCTCGGGCCGCGCGGGCCCTTCTCGCTCTCGGTCTCACCCTAAGGGCTAAGGCGACCGAGAAAGCCCCATTCTCCAGTAGGTAATGGGGCGGCGCCACGCGGGCTGCAGGCGGGGAGGGGTCTCAGCGCTGCCCGTGCCCTTTGCTACCAGCGGCCGCTCCGGGCGCCTGCTCCCGGAGGGCAAGTGGCCTAGAAATGTCCGGGGAATCGGAAGCTTCCCCAACCTTTGGCAGGACAAAAACTCTCCCTCCTCACGCTCCTAAAGGCGGGTGATGGGATACGAATTGTCCATTTTGGCTATGCAGGCTCTCTTCATCGCCCTTCGCCCTCATTCGAGTGTTCCTCCCGCGCCCCCGCTAAGTAGAGCCCCTTGCGCGCCTCCCGCGCCCCACCCCCCGCGTGGAGAGAGCCCACTGCCTCCCCCGCTCCCTCACTTCTCCTTTTATGTACTACCCCCGCCCCCTTTGCTTTCGTTAGCCAGGCCCGCTACGTTTATCTGATAATTGAGTTATTAAAAGATTTGGTTTCCTTGGGCCCATAAATCAATAAACAGTAGGATTAACGCAAGAGTTTGCCTTTTAAGTCAAGGGAAACGTTTAAAACAAGCCCTTTTGAGCTTTGTTTTCAAACCAAACAGGTGAGTTGCAGCTTTTCCTCCACCCTGCACTCTTGAGACATTTTATCCTTGCCGCGTGCCCCCTCCCGAATGCTTAGGCCCAAACCAAAACAGCTAAAGATAGAAAAAAGGAGTCAGGATGTGGCAGCGCTGCCTTCACACTTTCCACTTTGCAAGTTCCTTTTGGAGGTTCCAAAGGTCTCCTGACCATTCTCTGTCCAACCGTGCCTCCTCTTACAGGTATCATGGGTCTCAGGGGAGCAAAAAAAAAACAAACAAACAAAAAAAACGGAGGAGCTCTCTGAGAGAGGCTTCCACCATCAAAATGATCTTTAATTTCTCCCCCAAACTGGGAAAGTAACTTTCTCTCACCACCCCCACTCCCAAAATTATCTTGCATTTTCTTTCCTTCTCCCTGGCTCCACATCCTTAGCTTTCTCCACCCCCACATAAAGAACTGAAGAGGCTTTCAAAGATCTGGCTGTTTTATTTTCTTTGGCCAAGGAAGCCACTTTCTCTCAAGCAATTATTTCATATCCTATGAAAACTTTGGTTGAATGGAAAACCTGAAGCCCCCGGACTTATCTACACACTGTTCCTCTGGTACAAAGCCTTACTTAAAAGGGCAACTCCTTCCTACTTAGAGTGTTTATAGAGAATTTGTCATCACATCTGATATCCTGTATGCGTAATACATTATGTGGAAAGGAAATAATAATCTTAAACCATCTGATGTTGCCTCAAGAGCCCAAACAGTGTTTCCCCTCCTGTGCCAATATATGTTAAATTATCGGGGCTAAAAAGAGAAATAAAGAAAAAAAGAAAGAAAAGAAAAGAAAAAGAAAGAAGAGTAAGAAGAAATATCAAAATATCAAAATTCATTTTTGTTTTCTTTCAAAAAGTGGAATGAACACAATTCTTTAAATGCCAAAATTGACTCCACTGTTGAGTTGGTCTCTAATTCACTAACATTGTTTTTGCCACACAATCAAGAAATATCAATCTATTGACTCTTCGGAAGAAGAGTTCTGGAGGGTATCCATGTTAAGTTTGTATATATTTATTTATGCTTAATTTAATGGGAATGTGTAAATATGGCAAGTAGTTTGGGATTATTTATCTGTGAATCTATACCTCTGTGAATGGGTGGTTAAAAAAAAAAAAAAGAAAAAAAAAAAACAAAACGCTTGACCCTAGGTAGAATCCTATCTGAATTTTTCTGTTCTTTATAGACAAGCTGTTATGGTAATGGGTAGAAATTGGTTTATTGTCCAGTGTTGATCTGATTTACACAAATAAAAAGACTGTTGTGTTTTTGTTGTGTTTTCATCTTCAGTTTCTTGAATATGGACATTGTTTAATTCTACAAACAAAAAAAGTATAGCCAAGAATTCTTTTCCTTTTTGTCTCCTCTCACCAAAACACAGGCAATGTTTTCATTACAGCATAAATACAATAAATTTTGTTTCTTAGAAAAACAGATACTTTTGTTTTCACTAGGAGGTGTTTTTTATTTTCTTAATTCCAAGTTGACACTCTTCTCTCCTCTTTCTAACTAGATTTGCAATAAAAGCTCATGTTAACTGCATCTCTTGGTTTATTTTTGCCCTTTAAAAAAATGAGGTGTCAAATTTACTTCCCAGGTAACTGAAAGACTCTGTGTCCCGGTAACTAAAGGGCTCTGGGTCCAAGTCAAAGATGATGCTCCCCTCCCACTGCTAATGGGATAGCATTCTGGCATGGTGTTCCTTGGAGAAAATGGTACAGGAGATGCCCACAGGGCCAGGTATGGGCTACTGCACCCCACACCTGGGGATCTGGAGGAGTTAACTGGCTTATTTCAGGAATGAACCCAACCCTGACCTCACCAGCTATGCAAGGCCCTCCATAAACAAATGAGGAACAGCTCCTTTGACCCAGAGGAGGAAAAAGACATAGTTGTCTTAGGAGGTTGGTTCTTACCTTAGGCTCAGAGGCTGCCTAGAGAAGCCAGAGCTTTTCTCATTTGGGTTAATGGGCTGCAGCCCAGCCCTAATGGGCTGCAGTGATCAAACATCTTCTCAATCTGTATTTCATCCCAAGGCTTGGGCGTCTTCCCTGAGGCAAGGAAAGTAAAGTCATCCAAGATGTTACACAGTTTGGACAAGTCACTGTTTCTCTTTGGACCTCAAGGTCTTTATCTGTAAAATGTGGGCCTCCTAGGGTCCTTTCCAACATCCAAATATTGCCTGGTTTAATTATAAAAAGCAGAAACAGTAACATGTATATACATTTAAGGATAATCAACAAAGTCGAATCTTGATAACCCCAGATTATGAGAGTACTTAGCATATAGTTGGTGCTCAGTTAATTAATAATATGCCTCCCATATCAATTTTCTGTTTTTCAGGTGCATCATTCCCAGTTGGACTTCCCTATAGGGAAAGACAGAAGGGACAATGGAATCTGCTCTATGTGAGATTTTCCACTTCTTGGCTTCCTTATTAACTAAAGAAAGGGGGGGAGGGTATCATGGCTAGAACTCTAAGTGACTAAATCATAGAACCCCCCCCCCCAGAAAAGGAAGGGAAGTAGAAGGAAGGAAAGAATTGCAAGGGAAATGTGATTAAGAGGCCATGCAATCCATTTATCTATAATGAAAATAGGTATATGT